CTGCCCTGGGCACACAGCACCCTGGGGCGCAGGGACACTGCTCAGCATTACAGCCCATGCAGAACTGGGGGCACTCACTGGGTTCACACTCCTGCACCGTCCCGGGGAGAAGGCAGCCGTGATGCCCTGTCCCTCTGATGGTCTGGATGGAAATCCCTGCTCTAAAGCACCCCCAGCTCCAACAGGAGAAGCTGGGAGAGATGCCCTGAGAGATCCCATCAGCTGGGGAAGGTGCCAGGTTCAAAAGAGCCCTCCAGGAACCACAGCACTCTTGTCCTGCAGACAGACACTTACCGTGTCACGGGCTGGGGAGGTTTCTCCCTGCAAGGAGCTCTTATTCGTCCTCCTATTCCCAACTGTCCTTCACTTAGGARCGACTCATCCCAGCCTGGTGCCTGCGCGCAGTGCCCTGAATCTTGGTGCTCCTTTAAGAGGAGCTGCTCCTGGGCAGAGCTGTTTCTCTGCAGCGCCTGCGAGGTTGCCAGGGGCTCCCGCAGTCCCAGGAGCCAGGCCCAGCTCAGGAGCAGGGACCCAGCTGCAGATGGGACAGTTTCTGTCCCTTGAGCAGCCTCCAGGGGTTTCTGGGGCTCCAGGGCTGTGAGAGGGGAAGCTGTTTGGGTGTCTGCAGGGTGCATGGACACAGCTGCAGGTAGGAACCAGCATAGGACAGGCTCTGCTGGACAGAGACAAAGGCACTGCTTGGGGTCACAGACACGAAAGGAGGTCTTCATCCTCTTGATATGGCTGTTGTCTCTGCCACCAACACAGACACCTTGAAAGGTCTCATATCATTGTCCTGCACTGAGCACTGTACACCCCCAACCACTCACTGTCCAGAGGAAAACCTGGAAAATGTGTAGGAAACAAGCTCCCTTCCCAGAAGCTCCATGACCAAGCCTGGACATTTGGCCTGATAAAACATCAAGGATTAATGTGGCATCAGAGCCACCTGCACATTTCCCCGGCCTACCTGTTATCAGTGAGGACAATTTTCTGCTCTCATCACCCCCTGGGGAGTCTTTGCTCTTAATAGCTAGCAGTGGGATCCATTAAAACTCAACCAAAAGTTGGGGGTTGATTTTCACTTTGAATTCTTCCGTGTTTATTTCAGTCTCCTCTCAGTTACTGAGGTTCAGGAACTCAGTACCAAATACACCATGGGGATCACTAAAATGCAAAAAGCTCTCACAAATCCTGTATCTTCCGGGAATATTTACCAAATCTTGCATGGCTAATTGTAGAGTTTTGGGGATTTTAGCTGAACCGTGGAAACATCAGTAATATACAAGTATTTCTGCTTTTAAAGTGTTTCATGTTATTCTTGTTATTCAGCTTTCAGAGGAAGTGACAGCAGCATTCTCCAACTGGAATCAATCCAGAATGACTCCTGATCAAGTCTGGACATGTAGAAAACCAGGGTCCCAGACCTGAAGCACTCTATAGACACTCCTCCTCCCTCCTCCCCAACTTGGCCATTCCTCTCAGCCATCTGGGACTTCCATCACTCTTGTTAGAAGCTTCTCTGTTCTACTGATGTCAACAACTGAAGGTTACAGCTCATCTGCCCCAACTCCCCCTTTTTTTTTCCTTAGAGAACTAGTTACAAATAATTACAGTTTTTTTTTATTTGCAAAGAAACAGAAATAAAGCATGAAACAATTTCATAAAGACTAATGATGCACTTTGAGTGTAGGCTAAGCTTTAAACTCCCTGAAGTGTAATCCTTTGTTCTCTGAATGAACAAAGGGGAATGGGAGTCACAATACTGCAATTTAACAATGGCCAGCTCGTGTCCCATAAAATGGTGTTAGAAATTATCAAATTAAGCAGGACTGACGCGAATAGGAGAGACACAGAACTCCTGCAGGCCCTGGGTCATGATGCAGGACATGCTACTTTGGGACATCACAAAACTACCTGTGCCTCTCTACAAAAGTAGGGAAAAACCTGTGATGCAAGACCCTGGAGTGGAGGGATTTTCCTGACTGCTGAGAGTGACCCAAGCAGGACTTGGGGATGTCAAAGGAAACCCAACGCACCAACACCAAAAGCACTGGACCTTCCTGAACCCTCTGGCTGGGAGCAGGAGGGGGCGGGAGAAACAGCCACTTTATCAGACCTTCACCTCCACAACTTGTCATGGCTTCAAGGGAGCTCCCTACACCAATACTTCCCATGACTCCAGTGCATGTAGGAGGCTAAGGAGACATGGCGAAGACAGGGGAGAGTGTCACGGAACGAGTGGTGGCAGGGGTGAGTGACAAATGCACTTCACTCATATGAAAGAAATAATAACAGGATTTATTAATATGGACAATGATTTCACGAGATTCTATGGCAAGGTCACTTATTATTCACTGCATAGAGGCTCAAGATAATACACAGTTATCTTGGGATACCCTCCCGTTGGGTCACGAGGTTCAGATTGGACCCCGCTGCTTTCCAGACTCCTTCTGAGAGGAGTCTGGGTGTGGCTGGATCCAATCCTAGTCCCAGACCTGGTCAACGGTTTATGACGAAGGGTTCTTGTGCACAGTTACAAAGTAAAGTTAAAGAAAGAGAGCATGCCATGTTCACTTACCACAAAACTGTCATGGAAGGGGAGTCTCTCAACCTCGAGGAGTAACCTTGAGAGGCGTCCCTGCTCAAGGGGAGATCCTGCTGTGCAGGCCGCAGCCGTGTCAGGAGAGCTCAAAGGGCTCTCGAGCTGTCCGCATAGTTATAGGATAAGATGATTGACTTATAGTCATTCTTTCATTTCAGAGGCCCATTGGCTAGTGCACTAGCCTTACCTCCCCTTTGGGATGCAGCCTTCAGGAATGTTACGTTGAGTCTAACTGGCAGAAGAAATCAGGATGGTGGTGCCTACCATGATTAGATAAATTGCTGGTGGTTAGCAACTGAACAGGGCTGCATGTGAGGTACAGGCCAGGTTGAGCTGGGAAAGGAGCATATCCGTCACACCCTCCACCTCATTAAGGAGCTCCCTTTCCCTATGGGCACAGAGCTCCGCAGGTGTCAGCCCCTCCACGGTCCCCCTCAGCAAACCCTGCTGTCCCCACCGCTGCTGCCGGCCCCTCAGCGGCTCTGGCAGCAGGGACCTCAGCACCAGCACCCAGCGTGAGCCTCCTGCTGGCCCAGCAGCTCCTGGGGCAGCGGGGACCTCGCACGCGCCCAGCCCAGCGGGGGCTGCTGCTGCCATGGGCTGCAGGGACACCAGGATCCTGGGCAGAGCCGCCCCACCCAGGGAGGGGCTGCTGACGTCACCATCACCTGCCCACGCGCTGCCCATCCTGGCCAATCAGGGGCTGCGGCAGCAGTGACCTCACCAGCCGACGTCCATGCGTCAGCACAGAGCCGCCCTGCGGAGAGAAGGGAGGTCCCTGCACTGTCCTCGCAATGGCCTCCTTGTCCCTGCTGCTGCTGGGACATGTGTGGCCTCCCAGGCAGTGCCTGCTGCTGCCCCGGCAGCTCCTGGCACACAGGGACCTCCCCGCATGTTGGCAGCAGACCCTGCTGCCGGCCGCGCTGCTGCTGGGACAGGAGCGGCCCCAGAACCCGGCCCAGCCATGGGCCAGCGCTGGCCTTGCAGCTGCTCCGTCAGGAGGGACCTCCCAGGGAACTGCCCAAGCAGGTGCCAGGGACTCAGAAAGGAGCAGATCTCACAGTCACCCTCACAGCCACATTCCTGTTAACGGCTGCTGCCATCCACTCAGCAGCACAGACAACATGACCTCCTGATGAGCAGCAGTGCCCTTTGCCTGCTGCTGGCCCACCAGGTGCTTACAGACATTCCCTTGATGAGAATGATTTTCTTTCATAGCTGTTGCAGGGCAGCCAAGCAGCTGGGCTGCAGGGCCAGCTCTCTCATGACCAGGAGATCCACAGCCCTCTCCCTAGGGATGGCACGTGAGTCCTGCCCCCAGGGCTCCTCAGGCATTTCCAGTGAATGACAGAGCAGCCTGCCCAAGCTGACACCCACAGGAATATAGTTTTGTATTTGTTGCCCCCACAAGCACCCCACTGCTCCTTTGCTTTTCTCTGGAGATGCCACTGCTACACAGAGAGCCTTTGCCCAGGTCTGTGAGTCCACGCTGGCCTGGCCGTTCCTGCACCCCTCCCTTGGGCAGCCCAAAGGACACCGGTCTGGCGGTGCTGCTCTGCAGGGTGAGCGGCTGTGGGGACATAGGGTGACTCCACATTGGCCATGATAGTTAGGACAGAGCCAGCTAGACCAGCATCACTGCAGCTGACATCCCCCTCSCCAGGGTCTGCGGCTGTGGAGCGTGCTTGGAGCAATCCCAGGGCAATTCACATTGCTCAAGGTGTGTTTGGAGGTGTTGTTAGACCCACCCCACTGCCTCTCCTGAGACTGCAGAGCCCTCATTTGGGGCAGTGCTCAATTTGACCCTTCACTGTTGAGGGAATGCACTTGGGTTTGTAAGTCTCCACACACTAGCCAGTGCAGGCACTGCCCCTGGAGGAGCCCTCTGCTCTCTGGGTGGCTGGCTCCAAAGAGCCTTGCAGAAGCTTGGGCATCTGGCACTAGTCCTCTAAGATGTGAGACTTGCCCCTGCACAGAGCTGTTGACCACTTACCCTCTCTAGGGCCATTGGAGGGCTGAGTCCAAACCCCATTGCCTCAGGCATCACTTCTCCAGCTCATGTTCCTTAGCCTATGCAAAAGCTGAGCATGGCAACGGAGCCTGTTTGGGTGCAATTCCCTGAGCGCACTCTTGGCTCCAGCTTTGGAAGAACAAAGTATTCTGGCACAGCACTGAGGTATTCCTCTTTTATTATGGACATGATCCATGGGAGGCTACTMTGACCCAAGTATCAGCAGATTTACGAAAGTTCTCAGTCAGAAAGAAAGGGATTCAGACTCAAAAAGGTGGGATGAATTCAACTGTTCATTCACAAAAAAATGATGATCACAGACAGAACTCCCAAAGCACAAGAGTTGCCTGAGATAAACTAGAATTGCTTCTAGAGGAGATGGACTCATTGCTGATGAATGAGCACCACATGAAYGAGTTTCCTCAGGGCATCCTGGAGCTCCTTGTTCCTCATGCTGTAGATGAGAGGGTTCACTGCTGGAGGCACCACTGTGTACAGAACTGCAAACCCCAGGTCTAGAGTTGGGGTGGAGACAGATGGGGACTTCAGGTAGGCCACCATGACAGTACTGAGAAACAGGGAGACCACGGCCAGGTGTGGGAGGCACATGGAAAAGGCTTTGTGGCGGCCCTGCTCASWGGGGATCCTCAGSACAGCTCTRAAGATCTGCACRTAGGACACCACAATGAAAMBRAARCACCCAAARSCTAAACAAAGGCTAATGACAAGAAGCCCTAGTTCCCTGAGGTAGGAGTCTGAGCAGGAGAGCTTGAGGATTTGGGGAATCTCACAGAAGAACTGCTGAACCACATTGCCTTGGCACAGTGGCATGGAAAACGTGTTCCCCGTGTGCAGGAAAGCACTGAGAAAACCAGTGCCCCAGGCAGCTGCTGCCATTTTAATACAAGCTCTGCTGCTCAGGAGGGTCCCATAGTGCAGGGGTCTGCAGATGGCAACATAGCGGTCATAGGCCATGAGAGTGAGGAGATAAAACTCTGCTGAAAGTAAAAATAGAAAGAAAAAGACCTGAGAAGCGCATCCCAAGTAGGAAATGGCCCTGATGTCCCACAGGGAATTGGCCATGGATTTGGGGACAGTGGTGGAGATGGAGCCAACATCGAGGAGGGAGAGGTTGAGGAGGAAGAAGTACATGGGGGTGTGGAKGCGGTGGTCGCAGGCTATGGCTGTGATGACGAGGCCATTGGCCAGGAGGGCAGCCAGGTAGATGGCCAGGAAGAGGGAGAAGTGCAAGAGCTGCAGCTCCCACATGTCCGTGAATGGCAGGAGAAGGAACTCGTTGAGGATGCTGMTGTTGGACATTTAGCTCCCACTCATCAGAGTGAACTGTTTAAGGRGGAAAAGCAATGCAAGTCATGAGAGATTTTTATGATCAGAACTCTTCAACTTTCTCCCCAGCCCCCAAATACACATGCACACACACACATTGTTTTACTGCTTCTTGGCAAGATGTTTCTTCTGCTCCCTGCCTGGAGGTCCAGTTAATGATGGCTGTTAATATTAATGGTGTGCTGGGAGGAGCAGAGTCCTCCGCCAAGGACTCCAGAGGGTTCAGTCCTTCTCTAATGTATAAGGACTGTTCAACCTTTTCACATCCAGTTAACACATATTTTAACCACAAGCACAACATTTTCTGTTTGGGGGGAGTCTTTGTTGTTTGTTTGTCTGCTCTGCAGGGTAGGAACTGCACCCTTTCCTCTGCTCTCCCTGTGAAGTTTAGTGAGTCCCGAGAGGCAAATCCTCTCCCTGTGCCCTAGCACAGAGCCAGCACACCGGTCACACATCATTCCCACTCTCCTTTGCCTTGGCATTCACCTCTCTCAGCCAGCRGACACTGGAGCACACCTGGCTGGTGCTGACGGTGGTGTCCACTTGCACATCTCCAAAGTGCACATCCCCAAACTCACCCGCTTTTCTCGGCTCACACGTCCCGAGAGTGCTGCAGAGGCTGGGACATAGTATATGGCTCTGTTGACTGATAAAAGGCTCGGTGATCTGCTGCTGATGATCTTTGGCACCCGCTTTCTAGACAAAGACAGAATTCATCTTATTTGCCYGCACAGAGCCATCTCCAGCAGCAGCTTCTTTTCCTTGGCACYTCTGTGACTCCTGCATGGCACATTCCTCTCTTATGAATGTCGTACAGAAGGAGCTGTACCCCTGCGCAGGGCAGCACACGGCCTGACAGCTCATCCCAGGGAAGGTCAGGGGTCTTAAAGGTGGGGTCTCCTGAAAGGAGAATCAGATCATTCTCCAGTCACATGGACTGTGCTGCTTTGAGTCCCAAGGTCAAGGAGGATCCTTGACCTCTGTCTCCATTAGAGACACCTCTGCAGCAGCAACACCATGGTCTGGGTCAGATTCTAGCTGCAAATTTCCTCYGCATAAAGTCCAAGAGTAGAAACAAGAGCAGCCCTGCCCAGGAGGGAAACGAGCAGCAACATCTTGATGCTTCTGCCAGGGGTGGCAAAGGCAGAACGAGAGAGGCACACTGGGGAAAGTCTTGTCCTAACGCAGCTGTGCACACCATCTCTTGGATGGAGACATCACAGGYTGGGGTGTTCCCTGCTCATTTGCCATGATTTAAGAAATATGCAGGTGGCAGGAGTGCTGCCCCTCTCCTCATCATCCCTGTGCGACATCATCCCAGATGCTGGGTCCCCTGGAAAACTCCACTCTTGNGTCAAGGAGGATCCTTGACCTCTGTCTCCATTAGAGACACCTCTGCAGCAGCAACACCATGGTCTGGGTCAGATTCTAGCTGCAAATTTCCTCCGCATAAAGTCCAAGAGTAGAAACAAGAGCAGCCCTGCCCAGGAGGGAAACGAGCAGCAACATCTTGATGCTTCTGCCAGGGGTGGCAAAGGCAGAACGAGAGAGGCACACTGGGGAAAGTCTTGTCCTAACGCAGCTGTGCACACCATCTCTTGGATGGAGACATCACAGGYTGGGGTGTTCCCTGCTCATTTGCCATGATTTAAGAAATATGCAGGTGGCAGGAGTGCTGCCCCTCTCCTCATCATCCCTGTGCGACATCATCCCAGATGCTGGGTCCCCTGGAAAACTCCACTCTTGAAAGGTCCTCATGGTGAGTTGGACACGGTGAGCTGGACAGGGTGAGCTGGAGTTGTGACACTGAAGCCTTGACCCAGGTGGCACCTGCTTCATGGAAGGAAGAACCTACCTTTCCAGGCCACCCCTCTCATACAAAGCTTACAGCATCCTGGAGAGAAGGGAGCAGGAAATCCCTACTCTGAACCATCCCCTCTGTCTTTGCAAAGGACAAAGGTGGAGAACAATCCTTAAAAATCCAATTCTGTGAGTGGACGGGTTCAGAAGAACCCTCAAGTAGCATTGCTCTGAGGCCAGAAACTCACAGTGCCGAGGGCTGGGAAGGTTTCTGCCACAGCCAGCTCT